GATTATAGGCGTGAGCCACCATGCCCGGCCTCGATTTTCCTCTTATCTCCTGCTAGTCCTTCTCAGTCTCTTTTAAGGGCTCCTCTTAAACATCAATGTTTCCTTAGGATTCTGCCCTGGGCCCATTTTATCTTACTATACACATTCTCTCTAGGCAACACTCCTGGCTTCAGCTTCTACCTATTAATTACATGACCTCCTTTTTCCAGATCAGACTTCTCACAAGCTTTAGAGCTATACATCCAACTCAGTATTAAACATCTTGACAGTTACTCAGGGAACTCAGACCCCCATCTCTGAAATGGAATCTATCATCCTTTCACTGAAAACGTGCCATTTCATTTTCTGTCTCTCTGAAGGGATTGCTATCTACCCAGCTGCCTAAGCCAGAAGTCCAAGATTCTAAACTTATCCCCTTTTCTGTCCTTAATGTTCAGTCATTAATTTCTGTTTATTTTCACCTCCCAAGTATTTCTTACAACCACAACATCTTTTCTAGAACTACTGTCATTATCTTGGTTCAAGACCTCATAATAAATGTAGCCCCAAAATTTCCCTGTATTCTTCAAAATTTATTTTTGATTATTAAAACATAATACATAATAATTGTACATATTTATGGGGTACATGTAATATTTTGATACAAGCATAATGTATAATGATCAAATCAGGGTAACTGGGATATGCATCACCCCTCTCTATGTTGTTTTTAATTTTATCCAAGTTACATATGTTGTCATATGTGGCTCTACAGGGTTAACAACAAAAAAATCAGCAGTCCTCTGCCCTCTTCCCAAGAGATAACCCATTTTTTCCCCCTTTAGCTCACTATTTTGATCCTGACTTCCAAGTTTCTAAGTAACTTGCTTGTGTTGGTACTTCTTGATTTTTTAGTCTTAGGCATATCTAATGACTTCCTACTAGGGAACCATTCATTCATTTACCCAACAAATACTTATCAAGTGCTTAATATTGTGCCAGGTACAATTCTGGGTGTTTGAGATATAACAAACAGAATAACCATCAGGGAAAAAAATGAACAAACATAAATTAGAATATTATATAATTAATTCATTATAAAATAGTGATGCCCTTCTTTTGTGTTCCAGCAGTGTCCTGTTCATAGCCCTGTCATAGTCAGCACATTCTCTACTACAATCCTGTGTATGACTGTGGTTGGTGGTGACTGTCTTGTTTAGACCTAAGTTATATTCTTCCTATGGTTCTGATGAGTCCAGTGGTGGTGACTGGAAGGAGCTCTCTGCAGAACAGAAGAACCTCCTGGGAAGGTGCTGGAGAGCTTAGGTTATCATAAAAAACGAGCTAGGGTAGTTCTGGAAGAGCTGACTCCACGGATCTCTAGATTAACTGCAAAGACTTGTTAAATCCCAGTTTACTATTTGAAACATTAAAGGTAACAAATTAGGATCATCATAAAGGAAAGCTCCTTACGTCATGATTAAATTTTTAAAATTGGCTGGGCGCGGTGGCTCATGTCTGTAATCCCAGCACTCTGGGAGGCTGAGGTGGGTAGATCACAAGGTCAAGAGATCTAGAATATCCTGGCCAACATGGTGAAACCCTGTCTTGACTAAAAATACAAAATTTAGCTGGGCATGGTGGCAGGCACCTGTAGTCCCAGCTACTCGGGAGGCTGAGGCAGGAAAATGGCGTGAACCCAGGTGGCAGAGCTTGCAGTGAGCAGAGATTGTGCCACTGCACTCCAGCCTGGTGACAGAGCAAGACTCTGTCTCAAAAAAAAAAAAAAAAAAAAAAAAAAAAGATTTTACCAATGACTAGTAAATGAAGTTTAGAAATGTTTGAACATTTCTGATTAAACATGATAATTCAATTTTAGTGTAACAGATCCTAATTTCTTTGCCTTGTTAGCTTATTTTTTAATCTTTTAATTTTTTTTTTTTTTTTTTTTGAGACACAGTCTCACTCTGTTGCCCAGGGTAGAGTGCAGTGGCGCGATCTTGGCTCACTGCAACCTCTGCCTCCAGGGTTCAAGTGATTCTCATGCCTCAGCCTCCCAATTAGCTGGGACTACAGGCTTGTGCCACCACACCCAACTAATTTTTGTATTTTTAGTTAGAGATGGGGTTTCACTTGTTGGCCAGGCTGGTCTTGAACTCCTGACCTCAAGTGATCCGCCCACCTTGGCCTCCCAAAGTGCTGAAATTACAGGTGTGAGCCACTGCACCTGGCCTGTTAGGCTGATTATAAAAAAGGATAAGGCTGGGTGTGGTGGCTCATGCCTATAATTTCAGCATTTTGGGAGGCAGAGCTGGGAGGACTGCTTGAGCTCAGGAGTTCAAGACCAGTCTGGAAAACATAGTGAGACTTTGTCTCTACAAAAAATACAAACATTAGCTGGGTGTGGTGGTGTGTGTCTAGAGTCCCAGCTACTCAGGAAGCTGAGATGGGAGGATCACTTGTGCTAGAAGGTTGAGGCTTCAGTGAGCCTCATGTCACTATACTCCAGCCTGGACAACAGAGTGAGACACTATCTTCGAGGAAAAAAAAAAAAAAGATACAAAAGGATAAAATTAAGTACATATCATTATTTTTTCTTTATCACTTTACTTACTTGCTTATTAAAAGGAATACAATGAGGTAAAAGGGTGTTTCATAACTTACTTTTCAAAGAATTTACCCAGAATCACAAACTGGTACATTAGTGGGAGTTTTTTTGGTTTGTTTAAAGTTAAAGGCTTACTTAATTCTTTGACATAGTAATACAAAATATATTATGAGCTATATATTTTAGAATTAAATATTTTACATATAACTCTCCCTTAATAACATTTTCTTTTTTTACATTTTGTTATATTTTTATATTTTTTGCCTCTTTAAAAAATAATTTGGTTTTGAATATTAAATTTACATATTTCTGAGTTAAATCAACATTTGTAGAGGAATTATCAAAAAAACTAGTAAGTCTGAAAAAAAACCCATATTTTTATATTCTGAGGTCCTATATATGCTATGGCTAATTCTCTAATTTTAAAAAATGCTGAATATTTATATAATGTTTATCAAACTATTATTAATTTATATTTGAGTGTTTTACTATATTGGAATTGCAGTAATATTGTGTAAACTCACAAAACCTTGCTCTTCTTGCTAGAAAGAGATGTAAAAATCTGAACTAGTCGAACAGTCTTAAAAGAACTCATTGTCTAGCCAGATGTGGTGGCTCACCCCTGTAATCCCAGCACTTTGGGAGGTTGAGGCGGGTGGATGGCTTGAACTCAGGAGTGCAAGCCCAGCCTGGGAAACATGGCAAAAGTCCGTCTCTACCAAAAATACAAACAAAATTAGCCAGGTGTGGTGGCAGGCGCCTGTAGTCTCAGCTACTTGGGATGCTGAGGTGGGAGGATCGCTTGAGCCTGAGAGGAAAGCTGTAGTGAGCAGAGACTGTGCCACTGCACTCCAACCTAGGTAACAGAGTGAGAAACATCTCAAAAAATAATAATAATGATAAAGAACTCATTATCCATTGGTAATAATAAATGTGTTTACGATGCAAAAAAAAGTGTAACACAAAAATATATTAAATGCTGCAGCAAGTATTTACATGTATGTACCTCATATTTTTTTTTTCTTTCCACTAAGGAAGGTGTTGTAATAGACAAACACAAATGCTTCGGTGTTTACAATTACAAATACCCCAAGTCTAGAACTTAAAAGTGGTAGTACTTTTTTTGGGACTTCTTCAGTTAACAGTCACTTTACACAGTGCTAAGCTTTTTACTCTTAATTACATTTTTGGATGATATTTATATTCCATTGTCCTAGAACACTGTGATCAAACTTTTTTTTTTTTTTTTTTTTTTTTTGAGATGGAGTTTTGTTCTTGTTGTCCAGGCTGGACTGCAATGGCATGATCTTGGCTCACTGCAATCTCTCCCTCCCAGGTTCAAGGGATTCTCCTGCCAAGTAGCTGGGATTACAGGTGCCCACCACCACACCTAGCTAATTTTTGTATTTTTAGTAGAGACAAGATTTCACCATGTTGGCCAGGCTGGTCTCAAACTCCTGACCTCAGGTGATCCACCCACCTCAGCCTCCCAGTGTTGGGATTTTGGACGTGAGTCACCGCACCTGGCTGATCTAATTATTTAAATAATAGTTTAATAGAAATGTTAGAAAAAGGAATTTCTGGAAATAAACAGGTTTTGTAAAGGTTTTTTCTGTAGATTACAATTATATTTGTCTCAAGTATTTAATTAATTTGAGGAAGAAATAAAAGTCATAAGCAGTCAACATATCTATGAGATATAAGGAGCATCCTTTATGTTTCTTTATTATTTTATTTTTTGAGACGGAGTCTTGCTTTGTCACCCAGGCTGGAGTACAATGGCACGATCTTGGTTCATTGCAACCTCCGTCTTCTGGGTTCTCATGATTTTCCTGCCTCAGCCTCCTAGGCAGCTGGGGTTACAGGCATGAGCCACCATGCCCAGCTAATTTTTGTATTTTTGGTAGATACGAGGTTCCACCATGTTGGCCAGGCTGGTCGAGAACTCCCGACTTTAGGTATCAGAAAAGTAGGGGAGGCCGGGCTCAGTGGCTCATGCCTGTAATCCTAGCACTTTGGGAGGCCCAGGTGAGCGGATCACCTAAAGTCGGGACTTTAGCTAACAAGGAGGCCAAACCTTCTTGAAAAGCAATTTTGAAATCTCTGTGAGAGTAGTTAAATCTTGGAGATAGACAATGACATATGTGTATTTGGTAAAAAGGCAGAAAGGCAGAAAAATAAATAAGGACAATTTTCTCCTACAGAGTAAAACATTTCATCAGTAGATAAGATTGAAGATTATATAAAGGTGTTTTACTGATTACTAATGCACAGATTAAAGTATTAAGCCATCTTAAGTTTTTAAAATTTTGCCAATTCTCATACTTCATTTTTTAAAAAAAATCTGAGGATAGAAACTTGATTATTGATTGTTTAACATATTTTGAAGTAACATAGAATGAAAATTGGTTACCTAATCAAGTAGCAACAGAAGAGTAAACTAAGGATGAAGACAAATATAGCAGTACCAAAAACCACAATATATATGTTGAGAGGCAGATTCTGGAATCCAATATTAGGCATCCTGAAGTTGTAATGTGGGAAATCCGAGCTCATGGATGAACTGTGGGGGAAGAAAAGAATGGAAAAAAAAATAGGTAAAGACTAAGAACAAAGACAGCATTATCATTGTGCACGTACAGAAGCACAATGACCCCATCTGAAACAAATATGGTAGACAAAGTGTTAATATTCTTGCCATTCATTCATTCACCATGCCAAATATTTACTACTATGTACCTGGCACTATTTCAGAGACTGGAGATTCTACATAAAAAGCTTTGCAAGTTGCATTTATTCACTAAAAGGCATTTCACTGAAATAATGCCAGTAATTAATAAACATGAAAATGTTCAACCTCAGAGAAGTGCAAAAAGAAAAAAAGTTTTAAGATTCTTCAAACTCTTTAGCCTTTAACCTAATAACCCTTGAAGTAGCAATATTTATAATGCTAAAATATTAGAAATAACTGAGATATCTCACAAGGAGATAATAATTATATAGTCATACGTTACAGTATTAAAGGGTCATGAAAACATTTTAAAGTAATTTTTTTTTTCTTTTGAGACACGGTCTTACTCTGTCACCCCAGGCTAGAGTGCAATGGTGTGATCTCAGTTCACTGCAGCCTTAATCTCCCAGGCTCAAGCGATTCTCCCGCTTCAGTCCCCCAAATAGCTAGGACTACAGGCACGTGCCACCATACCTAGCTAATTTTTAAAAAATTTTTTGTAGAGATAGGGTCTCAGCATGTTGCCCAGGCTGGTCTTGAACTCGTGGGCTCAAGCAATCGTCCCCACTTGGCCTCGCAAAGAAAACTTCTACTTTTATTTATGCATGGTAAATTAAAAATGTATTCACAGATTTTTAGTTTTCTTGTAGGTTCCCAGAAGAGTGTATTTATACTGTTGACACCACTGAGATGTTAACTGGCTATACCTGAAACCTAAATCTTATTATTAGTTTCTAGTATCTAGTAACGTATATCAGGAAGTCAGTACCTGCAAAGAACAACTTCATCCCATGTAAATTCTTCTCTGAGAGCTTCCAAACATAAATAATGGGTAATATTTAATTTTGAACCTTTGGCCATTTTCTGGGTTGGCTCAGTTAGAGCAAGTGCTTTTACTCAAATACATATTTAATTTCCTTTTTCCTACATTCAGATCTTCTTAGAAAGGGAAGGAAGGATGTAGTTAAGGAGTGCTTTACCAAATATACATAGCACATACGCTGTGGAGCTATTAGAAAATTACAGGGCACAAAACTTAGCTCTTAACTTTCGTATTTCTGACAGGGCCTCACTTGATGACCCTTGTTATAGCCAAGACTGTCCTTTAATCCCTTACAAATGTGCCTCCCTAGACAAGACTGGCTTGGTAAGATATCTCTCACCTTAGAAAATAAGGGATTAGGCCAGGTGCCGTGGCTCACACCTGTAATCCCAGCACTTTGGGAGGCTGAGGCGGGTGGATCGCCTGAGGTCAGGAGTTTGAGACCAGCCTGGCCAACATAGCAAAAATGCACCTCTACTAAAGATGCAAAAATTAACCCGGTGTGGTGGCACGCACTTGCAATCCCAGCTATTCAGGGGGCTAATGCAGGGGAATCGCTCAAACCAGGGAGGTTTACTGAGCCAAGATTGCTCCACTGCACTCCACCCTGGGCAACAGAGTGAGACTCTATCTTTAAAAAAAAAAGAAAGAAAATAAGAGATTAAATATCTGTACTGGGCAAGCTAAGAGAGAGGAAACAGGCAAGTGACAGAAAATGGTATGGTAGAAAGATAGAGAGGTTTGCAGTCAGCAAATCTGGATGCTTGCTCCCAGGATGTCACTGTCTAAATGTCAGAGCTTCATCTATACTTCAGTTTTCTCATCTTTCAAATGGTATGACTGTCCTATCGATCAATTTTAAGGAATTCTTGAAAGGATAAAATGAGATAGCAGATAACGAAGTGTCTGAAAACTCTAAGAGGACAAAACTATTAAGGCTTTAGTGTGTGTGTGTGGGGGCGGGGGAAGGGAATGGCATTAAATCAAAGTAGTAAATAACGGCCAGGCGTGGTGGCTCACGCCTGTAATCCCAGCACTTTGGAAGGCCAAGGCGGGCGGATCACCTGAGGTCAGGAGTTCGAGACCAACCTGACCAACATGGAGAAATCCCGTCTCTACTAAAAATACAAAAATTAGCCGGGCGCGGTGGCAGGCGCCTGTAATCCCAGCTACTCGGTAGGCTGAGACATGAGAATAGCTTGGCACGGTGGCGGGCACCTATAATCCCAGTTACTTGGGAGGCTGAGACATGAGAACAGCTTGAACCCGGGAGGCAGAAGTTGCAGTGAGCTGAGATCAGGCCATTGCACTCCAGCCTGGACAAAAGAATGAAGCTCTGCCTCACAAAAAAAAAACAAAAGAAAAGAAAGTGGCCGGGCGCGGTGGCTCAAGCCTGTAATCCTAGCACTTTGGGAGGCCGAGGCGGGTGGGTCACGAGGTCAGGAGATCCAGGTCATCCTGGCTAACACGGTGAAACCCCGTCTCTACTAAAAATACAAAAAAATTAGCCGGCCGTGGTGGCGGGCGCCTGTAGTCCCAGCTGCTCGGGAGGCTGAGGCAGGAGAATGGCGTGAACCTGGGAGGCGGAGCTTGCAGTGAGCCGAGATAGCACTCCAGCCTGGGGGACAGAGCAAGACTCTGCCTCAAAATAAATAAATAAATAAATAAAGTAGTAAATAACATAAAAGAAGCCTTGACAAAAATAATGTCTCTGGAGAGGATTCCACCAAACCAAGTACCCCTTCCACAGGGAGCTCTTCTGCACTCACTGACAAGCTTTCTGTCAGGTGGCCTGCCAACCTGGCCTCCAGACGCAGGAACTAGAAACCTTGTCTGGCCAAAGGCAGCCAATAATACAGGCTGGGTAGGAGTGAGGCCAGCGGTGTGGGAATGTTGCTCTGCAAGGTCCTCGAAATTGGTACAATTCTTGTAGCATTCCGAACAAAGACTCAGACACACACAGCAGTAGAGGTAGCACTGTCATCAGAAGGAAGAGACATCTGCCTTGGTGCTGCTGGGGGCTGGATGTTGAGAATTTTGTGAGTCCTCACTACCCAGCAGGGCCTTTTAATAAACCCCAATTACCAGAGGGATCTAGGCTGGTAGAAGATATGTTGATGCAGCATATATTTTAGGAATTTTTCTCCCTTTGTTTTAGTAAATAAAATGGCTTTGCTACAATTGATATGTTGGACCAACAATTTAAGTAGATGGTAGATTATTCCAAGATGTTAATCCTGATCTAGTAATACATTAGTTTTTACAAAATTTTCATCATAATGTATTTTCAGCAGGAGTATTAATCTTTTAATTTATAAAAGGCTACATATTCATCATCTTAGTAATATGCATTCTTTGCTATTGAAGTCTTACACATGTAAGTTATTTAGTAATTGCTCCTCGTGGGAGTAAAGAGGAGAAATAGAACATACAGCACACTGTTGTATCTTACTTGGCATTTCCAACTTCATTCACGTGAAAACCTTTTTTTCCCCTTATGTAAATTCAGTTCTTGAAATCTCTAGCCTCAGCCTAAATTTCAAATCACCCAGTCAGTTTATTAAAACCAAACCCAAACAAACAAACAAAAAAGACAAGAAGATTTGAGTATTTTATCAGCAATCTTAGAACAAAGAAGTTCTAAGAGGGACAGATTACTTGAGATTTGGATGCCTACAGGACCTGAGTTTAACACAATACACCACAGCTAAATGGGGCTGCAGTAGCATTCCTCAAAGCATGCTTGGTAGCCACATTTTTCTTAGATCAGTTCCTATTCCCTGGACAATACCATATCATCTTCCCAGGAGTCAGTATTCTAGTTTTGCTTCAAAAATTCTCAGAAGTGCCGGGCACAGTGGTTCACGCCTGTAATCCCAGCACTTTGGGAGGCTGAGGCGGGTAGATCACGAGGTCAGGAGATCAAGACCATCCTAGCCAATATGGTGAAACCCTGTCTCTATAAAAATACAAAAATTAGCTGGGCGTGGTGACGCATGCCTGTAATCTCAGCGACTCGGGAGGCTGAGGCAGGGGAATCCCTTGAACCATGGAGTCAGAGGTTGCAGTAAGCCAAGATCACGCCACTGCACTCCAGCCTGGCGACAAAAAAAAAAAAGAAAGAATACAAAATGTAACATGTGGCTGCGTGTGGTGGCTCACGCCTGTAACCACAGCACTTTGGGAGGCCCAGGCGGGTAGATCACGAGGTCAGGAGTTTGAGACCAGCCTGGCCAACATGGTGAAACCTATCTCTACTAAAAATACAAAAATTAGCCGGGCCTAGTGGCATGCGCCTATAATCCCAGCTTCTCAGTAAACTGAGGCAGATTAGGTTCAACCCCGGAGGCGGAGGTTGCAGTGAGCTGAGATGGCGCCATTGCACTCCAGCCTGGGACACAGACAGACTCCATCTCAAAGGAAAAAAAAATTGCTCAGAAAGGCGCCTGGGTGCAGTGGTATATGCCTGCAACCCCAGTACTTTGGGAGGCTGAGGGGGGAGGACTGCTCGAGGCCAGGGGTTTGAGACCAGCCTGGGAGACATAGGGAGACCCCACCTCTACAAATAAAAGTAAAAATTAAAAAATTAGGTGGGCATGGTGGCACATGCCTGTAGTACTAGTTACTCTGGAGGCTAAGATGGGAGGATCACTTGAGCCCAGGAATTCAAGGTTACAGTGAGCTATGATACTGCCACTACGCTCCAGCCTGGGTGACAAAGTAAGACTATCTCTAAAAAAGAAAGCTTTTGGCATATTAGAAGGAACTAACTTCTTTGTTCTTTATTGAGTATCTTTATGACCACATGAAACACTTTCTGCAAAATCTTTTTTTGAGTGGGTGGATGTGAGGAAAGATTAAAAATTTTAAAAACATGTCACTGATCAGTAGAAAGACCTAAGCTTTCTGATCTAATGGATATGCTGGGTTCTAGAGAGAATTATTTTAAAAATAAGACCTATATTTAGACAGATCCTAGTAAAATTTCTGAATTATATGATAGAAAAAC